TTCCGCCGGCCCGGGCGTCCTCCGGGGCGTCCTCCGCGGTGTCCTCGAGGATCCTGCGGAGGGTGAGCAAGGCGCGCGGGGAAGTTCCAGCCTCCTTCCCGGGCCCCGCCGCTTCGCTCCCGATAGCGCTCACCTGCACGAGCCCCGCGGGTTGGGGACAGATCTGGGGCACAGAGAGTCCCGAGCTGAGGATTTAAGGGCTGAGAGGGGTGGGGCGCCCGAGGGTGGGGCGGGGACCCCTCCTGACCTCAGCTGCCCGCCCTCGAACTCTCGCACACTCCAGGCCGGCTCCCGTTGGTTGGAGCTAGGCTGTGTCTGACCCAGATCCTGTCCCTCTGACGCCTTCTCTGTGTTATTCTAGCTGCAAGTCTTTGATTCCCCCGCCCCTGCTCTGGTTTGCTGTCTCCTACCTGGCTTTGTCCCTCCGGCCTCTAACTCTGTAAGTCTCTCTTCCTGGCCCCTCTCGGGTCCTCCCAGCCCTTGGACAGGTTGGTGTCTGGTCTTTGCAGCTTCCTTCTGACACAGCGTGCAGCAGGCCAGTGGATGAGGTGACAGGGTAGAGCCTGAGTGGCCTGCGAGTGCAGTCAGAGCAAGACTGGGCAGGCAGTGCAGACCCCGGCCTCGGCAGCCACAAGCACCGCTGCCAGATACAAGCTTCCAGCAGCTCCATTTCTGCACAGATGTGAAATGGAGACCTGAGGGGTGACTCAGTTTGCCCCAGGTCACACAGCCACCCAGAGTGGCACAGAACCACCGGTCCACACTGCCCTTGGTGGAGGCTGGAGACCCCAGCTTCTGCCGCTTCTGGGGTCTGGCATCTGTTGCTGGGCCCTGACATACGATCCCGATGTCCCTGGCTCGGAGTCTGAAGCAGAGGTCTGGGGCTGTCTGGAATGGCTTCCTGTGCCTCCGTGCCAGGGGGAGGGGCCCTGGCCAGAAGCCCCTTGTCCACCACTCCTGCCTGAGGCCTGATTGGGCTCTCTGGTGCCAGGGAGCAGAGGGGACCTCAGTTGGGGATTCCAGCAGCAGGGATTAGCCAGCTGCTGAAGGGAGGTCTGAGCCGGCTTGGGCTCCATTAACGGGTGGATTAGGATGGCCATGAGGATTGGGCCCTCCTGGCAGAGAAGGCAAGTGGAAAGCGTGCCACCCCCCACCCCCACTGCACCCACAGGTCCAGGAGAGCACTAACCAGGCGTCAGGACAGGGAGGGAAGGCAGGACATGAAGGTGCTGCCTAACATTGCACATGTCTGCAAACTGGGCACAGAAGCATCACGGGGCCTGCATTAGGGCTCACACAGCCCTGACACCCGTCCCTGCAGGAAGGCAGGTCGCAGATCAGGGCAGCCAGGGCTCCAGAAAGGAAGGCAGACCACTGGGGGGGAGCAGAGTCAAGTGAGACTCACAGGGCTTTCACAGCTCTGCTACAGGGAAGTGAGGCAGCGACCAGGGGCTGGAGTGGGAGAGGACAAAGTGGGCGTGCTGCAGGCCTGGGAAAGAGATGGGTCTAAGGGAACGGAGGCCTCACGCTGCCCGTGCCCAGGGGCAGGGCTGAGTGGGGAAGCAGGGCAGAAACCAAGAGTGCAGACACAGGAAAGCTGAGAAGCGCAGTGTAGACCTCACGGGGAACTCAAGTCCATGTTGGGTTCACAGGTCTGAAATTGAGGAGAGGCCAGGATAAAGCTGAAACGGCATCAGCAGTGGCGTGGGATTCCAAGCTGCAGGACGGATTCACTCGCTTAGGTGGACAGAAAGCGAGGATGCACCCCAAGAACCCCGACATGACGTCAGGGAGCAGAGCAGAAGAGGAGCCCAGAGGAGCAGCAAACGAGGAGAGGAGAGACCTGAGAGAAGGCAGCGCAGAGGCTGAGGAGCGGGGATGAGGGAGGAAGAGGATCGCAGCCAACTCTGCCCCACGCACAGGCACCAAGGCCAGAGCACGGAACCCAAACAGAAACGCAATTCCACCAAGGCCTCTCAGCTTGGACCGCCTGCAGCCACGAGAGCTCAGCAGCCCTCGCTTCTCCATCTTTGATTGCAGCTCCAGATGTTGCCTTGAGAAACATACAGAAAAAGAAAATCCCAGGGCTGCCATTCTTGATGTCCTCTTACGCTTCTATTGGCTCAGCTTAGATCTCTCTCTCTCTCTCTCTCTCTCTCTCTCTCTCTCTCTCTCTCTCTCTCTCTCTCTCTCTCCCTCATTCACATTTTTTAAAAGTAGCGACAAGATGGTA